TCCCACAGGCCTTAAAGCCGGGCCGGCGGGCCGCGCCGTGTGCAGCCGTCTCTAGCTGCCTTCTCTGGCGCACTCTCCTGCGGCTGCGGACTCTGGTACGTACACGTGCCCCACGCGTTCCTTTCCCTGCAGTGTCCAGACGCCTCTGATACCAGGGTTTGCACGGTGCTCTCCTCCTTGTGCTGAATAATCCGGGCTCGGAGGGAGCTTGGAAGGAGGGAAAGGAAGAAATCGGCGGAGGGGGGTGCTGGAGGGAGAGGCACCGGCTGGCGGCGTTGGGGTGCGGCCGCTAGCTGCCCGCTCCTGGGCCAGGTGAAGCCAGGGAATGTGCGGACTGCAGAACCCGGGCGGGGGCGTGTGCGAGGAGGACAAAGGTAGTCTGCGTTCTGGGGGTCGGTCAGGGAGCCTGCATGCACCGGGCCCCTCCCTGCAGCCGCGAGGACCCTCCCCGAACTGAGTGGCCTCTGCGACCCAGCCTTTGGCAAGGGTCCTTCTGGACTTGGGGCGAGTTCGGAATTCACAGCGGTTGCTATTTTGGGAAGAAGGACCGGAAGGAGCAGGCAGGGTGCAGATCGGACAGCCCTGACCACTGCACGTGCAGTGAGGAAGTGTCCCCTTTCTGCGACCTGGTTGCAGCGGATTCCCTGTGGGGAAGCCCGGCTGGCGGGGAAGTTGGGTGGAAGCGGAAAGCCCCGGGCAGCGTTAGTCACCGTCCCTGGGTTTTATACGGCTGAAGTTGTAGTGGCCCTCGGTGCATTCAGGAACTCCAAGTGTGCTGAGCAGAGCTGAGGCTTAGGGTTTGCAAGGGTTTCGGGAGCTGGTCGCCAAGGCCTGTCTTCCAGGCATGGCTTCCGAGCAGTGCCACTGTGAGATTACCCAATAAGCAAGGTAAGCATGGGCTTACTTGTGCTTTCTTACTAATCTGTAGTGAACAATTTCACTTTTTTCTTTCTTTTTACCACATCAAAGATTCTGCTTCTAGATATGGCTGGCATCTGTCTCTCCCAACCCCACAGTGCCTTCCTACAGAAACAAAGCATCTTGTCAAATTTACAGTCCCTGTCAGGGACGGGGTACCCAGTAAGCTAGGTAGACACAACCTTACTTGTGCGTACTTCCTAACCTGTACTAGACAGTCTCACCAGTATGGGGGAATCCGCCCCCATTTCTGAGGGCCGCCTGGGTGAGTTACCACTGCCAATTTTTAGGCTGGTTGAGAGCTTACCTTTTGCGCCATCCAGGAACTCTCGGCAGCAATTTTAAACCCCAACAAACACACACTTGATTTCTCCTTGGAGCCAGAGAAGTGCACCAGAAAATGGGGCAGAGCATCGTTCTCCCTTACTCCTCTCCACCACGGTTTTCAGCGTTGGCGATGTATGTTTGCCTTGGAAGGCATTGCACCATTTCCTGAAAGCTGGGAGTGAGCTTCTATTCTGTTCTTAGCATCGAAACTTTGTCTTAGGATTTGCTTCATGGGAGAGGAGACGCTCGAAAAGCTCACGTATCTGGCAGTACCGGTTTGGGGTCCCCAGGGTAACCTCAGGGGCGGCTAGGAGGAAGGGATGTTGCTTCCCATCTTCCCTAGCCTTGGAGATTGCCTTAAGCCTTGGTCTCCTCATCTTGTCCACTGACACAGATAACAATGCCTATTTATCAGGAACTTAGGAGGGTAAAATGAAGTGAGATGCTTAGTACATCACCAGATTCATAGTCAGTACTTAATATGAGATAAATGGGCTCCATGCTAAGTTTTAATGATGAGGAATATTAGGGGTGGACTCTGCAATGTCTAAGAAACCATCAGAATTTAGAAACTTCATGGAGTTGAGTGCATGTTTATGGTGTTCTAGGAGCTTCAGGATGGTTCTTGCTAAGAGCTGGACCCTGAAGAAGCACTTTGAAGGCAACCCCACTAATAGTAACTTTGAGTTGAAGACAGCTGAGCTCCCACCCTTGAAAAATGGAGGTAAGCCATACTCATAAATTTCAGAATTGGAAGAATGTTGTTAAGGATTGAATTATGTTCCCCAGAATATGTGTTGTAAATCTTGACCTCTATGCCTGTGGTTATAATTCCGTTTCAGAATGGATTGCCTTTGTTATGGTAATAAGACAGGATCAGTGTAGGGTGTACCTTGAGTCAATCTCCTTTGAGATATAAAAGAGATTAAACAAGCAAGCAGAGTCGAGAAGGGGTAAGATCGAGAAGGGGTAAGATCGATGCCAAGGCATGCGGAGATCTTCAAGGACCCAGGAAGCAGAAGCTGAAGAGACAAGGACCTTCCTCCAGTGCTGTCTAGGCTTCCCCGAAGGCTGATGCTTTGAATTCAGACTTCCAGCCTCTGAAACTGTGAGAAAGTAAAGTGTTTGTTAAGGCCATCCACTTGTGGTAGTGCTGTCACAACAGCACTAGGTAACTAAGACGAGTGTTTATCGGTCTTTGCTGCATAACCAAGTATCCGCAGACTTAGTTACTTCACACAACAATCATGTATTAATTCACCATTCTGTTGTTTGGCAGTTTGGGCTAGGCTGAGCAAGGCAGTTCTGTAAATCTCACCTGGCTAGGTGGTTGATTAGGATGGGCCTTCCTCCTATGTCTGCTGGTTAGCAGGCTTTCTGCTGAGGTGCATACCTCAATTCTCTGCCTCAGTCCTCTGCAGCCTTTCTGCCAGGAGAGCTTGGGCTTGTTTTCATAGTAGTCGCATTGATCTAGGGCAGCAGGAGGTGGCACGCACTGTTCAAGCCTCTGCTTGTGTCCTCTTTCCTAATATCCCATTGGTCAAAGCAATCACATGGCCAAGCCCAGATTCAAGAGGTGGAGCAAAAGATTTCTTGACAGGAGTAGCAAAAGGAGCAGCACAAAGGATGGGAGATATTTGTGCATTTGCATAATACCACAGAGACCTTCTCAGGGTTCTCTGTACGTCACATTGCAAGATCCCTCTGTTCTCCTTGATAACTGGGACACGTGCCTGGGTGTATTATTCTTCATGACCTTGACCAGACCATAGGGATGATGTCCTCTCTCTGGTGAGCCTGATGGTGACGTAGGGGAATCACTGCCCAGCAGCTGTGTGCAAAGAGCTCAGACAAACTCTAGGAGCAGCCAAAGAAGAAAAAACTCTCATCTTTCACTCAGAAGTCTCCTCTTCCCTTGGGGGAAGTGGAGGGACAAGGCAAACCTAAAGTAATTGAAGGAAAAGAAATAATAGTATATACCCCATGACATGTTGGATCAGCTTTGTGGAATTGAATGTAAGAAGTTTCTTCAGGTAGTTAACCTTTTAAGAAAAGGACATGCAATTGAGTAGCATGGCAAAGTTAACAGGCTTATCGACAACATAATGGCCAGGACTCAGATGCAGAATTTTAGAGAATGTGTGCAAGTGAGGTCACTCTAGCAAAATACACATTCTGGGGTTGATAATGAAACCCTGTGTGAGCATTGTAACATAGCGGTTACAAGGCCTTGAACAATTTACTTAGCCTAAAAAATTCTCCGCTGATAAAAATGGAGGTAATAATTGAACCTATCTCTTAGGGTTGCTGAGAATATCAAATTAAATAATCCATATAAAACATGGAGTAAGTGATGAATAAATAGCATTATTATTACAGTTGTTATCAATGAGGCTAGACCAAATGAGAGAGCCTTTCTTGTGTCTTAAATAGAAAGCTAGCTCTTAGATGAGAGGCCAACCCTGAACATAGAGGCTATGTTTATTTAGAATACCAAACACCATATAGGCATCAGACTTTAAGTTTCTAATTGACTGTGGAATGCTTTGTTTTGCAGAGGTCCTGCTTGAAGCTTTGTTCCTCACTGTGGATCCTTACATGAGGTATTATTTTCCTCTTAAAAATTCTTATGTTGTGTGTTAGACCCTATTTTGAAGTACTTCATGTTTTAAAACATCCAACCAATTCAAAACACTGTCACTAATCCCTCTTCTTTTCCCCCAGTTTATCATTATCAGGCAAAGATGTGAGAAGAAAACGTTTGAGATAATCTCAGTCTTGTTATTTTACAATAATCTCCTATATGTTGTGCAATTTGCCTTTTATTGTTCACCAGAATAGCTCCCAGCAACATTAAAAGAAAAAAGAAATCAAAGTCCAATTAGTCAATTTCACTACTGGCAAATCATTTGGTTGGAGGGAGATGCTAAGGCTAAAATCAGATTTTCTTCCCTCCTGTTTACCTGTAATGAGTTGACTCAAACTTGTGTCCTAAATTAGCAAACAACTGGAAGAGGGAAAGGAATGAAAGCTTTCATGGGCTACTGTGGTAGTTAACATTGTGTGCCATCTTGGATGGGCCTGGTTTTGAGTGGCTGGGCAGCTGGATGTAGTGATTCCCCATGATGAGAATGGTAATCAACTCCATGGTAGAATCTGTTGTGAGCAGCTGAGTAGTGCCTTATTCATCCACAATTGAACACACTGGTAAGATCATCATGTTCATTTCACAGAAAATTACTGCGAGTTTTTATTTTTAATCTCTTTTATTAAATTTCTTCAGGGTCTCAGAATAGAGCTATCTCTAACATCTTCCTCCTATATTTCACCCAGTTGTACTACTCTTTTGTATCCAAGTTTCATCTCGGCACACACTCCTCCAGTGGTTTTCCATTTGGTTTTAAACTCAAGTTTTCCCCCAAGTTCTATTATGTATTAAGAATTAAATTTCTTTTTTTTTTTTTTTTCAGAGTAGCAGCCAAAAGACTGAAGGAAGGTGATACAATGATGGGGCAACAAGTGGCCAGGTAGTTATTTCTTGTTTGCCTAATGCTCGGAAAACATCTTCTCCTGACCCTGCAGCTGGTCCCTGTCTCTGCTCATTGCTCCAACAATTTCTTCAGCCTGCTTGCTTCTCTCACTGTTTGATCTGGAAAGCAACCTGGAAATCCTGCCTCCTTCCTAGCTGATTGGGAGGGATAAGAGGATGTGAAATGGTCATCATTTCAGTCTCTCTCTGTTTTTAAAATTTTTATTGTGATGTGGGTAAAAATTTGCAGAGCAAATTCATTTTCCATACAGCAGTTCATACATATTTTGTCTCATGATGTTGACTGCAAGTTCCCACGACATAAGAACTCTCTTCCCACTTCCTCCCCATAGTTAACCCTTCCCTGTGCCCTTCTCTCCCACGCACCGCAGCCTCCCGAGCTGCCTTCCTGTGCAAACACTGCCCTTCTGTTCTCCCATGTTTGATCTCTCCAAGATGTATATCTACCTTATGTAAATGTTCAACCCATATACCTGTCTTTTATTTGGCTGGAAGCCACAGGAGTGAGTTCAATTCCAGACCTGAAGGGCAGCTAGGGGCCATAGTCTCAGATGTTTCACGAGGCTCTATCGGACAAGCAAACCTGGGCTTTTTTTTTTTTTTTTTTAACAATTTTGAGTTTTGTTCCACATTATTCTCACACTCTATCCAGGATCTCCTACACCAATTCCCCTCCAAGTGAATGACAGTGGTAGCTGGGTACCATCTAGTTCTTCCAGTCTAATGGTCATATAGGCTGAGGATCGCATGGTCTACCAGTCCCTTGGACTAATTGTTTCCATGCATCTTTGGTTTTCTTCATTCTTCTTTGCTCTGGATGAAGAGAGACCGATCGTTGCATCTAGATGGCCACTTGCAAGCTTTTAAGATCCCAGTCACTATACTCACCAAAGTAGGTTGTGGAACAATGTTTTTGGGTTTGAACCACCAGCCTTCTGGTTAGCAGTCAAATGCCTTAGGCACTGTGCCACAGAGCTCCCAGCTGTATCCTAGAAGTCACCACCTTGTCTTTGTCAACTCTCTTTCAGTCTCATTTTGCTATCCTTACTTTTAAGTACTAAAAAGTAATACTCTTCCCTATTTGAAATGCTGTTGAGCATACATACTAGTATCTACAATTTTACAAAACAGCATTATATACAAAGCCAAAGATGAGGAAATTGAAGATTTTTATCAACTTCTGCAGTCTGAAATTGACCTAACATGCAATCAAGATGTGTTAATTATCACTGGTGACTGGAATGCAAAAGTTGGAAATTAAGAATCACCAATAGTTGGAAAATTTGGCCTTGGTGACAGAAATAGTGCTGGAGATTGCATGATAGAATTTTGTAAGACCGATGACTTACTCATTGCAAATACATTTTTTTCAACAACACAAACAGTGGTTATACATGTGGGCTTTGGCAGATGGAATACACAGGAATCAGATTGACTACATCTGTGGCAGGAGGTGATGGAAAAGCTCAATATCTTTAGCCAAAAGAAGGCCAGGTGTTGATTGTGCAACAGACCATCAATTGCTATATGCTAGTTCAACTTGAAGTTGAAGGCAATTAAAACAAGTCCAGGGGAGCCAAAACATGGCCTGGAATATATCCTCCTGAATTTAGAAACCATCTAAAGAATAGATTTGATGCATTGAACACCAGTGATCAAAAACCAGAAGAATTGTGGGATGACATCAAGAATATCATCCATGAAGAAAACAAGAAGTCATTAAAAAGATGAGAAAAGAAGAAAAGACCAAAATGGATGTCAGAAGAGACTCTGAAACTTGCCCTTGAATAGAGAGTAGCTAAAGCAAA